ATGGATGGATGGATGGATGGATGGATGGATGGATGGATGGATGGATGGATGGATGGATGGATGGATGGATGGATGGATGGATGGATGGATGGATAGATAGATTTTTTTTTCCAATAACCCAAAATTTGATTGAAAATGTGTGAATTAACACCTGGTTATTATTATTATTGTGTTATATTTGACTGTGGATAATAAAATGCATTAATGCATAATTACATTAAGATTTTCAGTAAAAACTCAAAAACTTTCAAACTTCATATTTCACACAACGCTGCCGTATACTAGTATAAAGAGAGTTGCATTGAATATTTGTGTGCTTCTTTTAGGATCACTATAATCGTCATTATATGGAAAGAGCAGAAAGAAGAAAATTCTCCTTATGTGTTTCACAGACGAGTTTGAGCAACATGCGGGTGAGTAAATAAGTTTCGTTCTTGTGTGAACTGTCCCTTTAAGGCTTTTGGCGTGTTGTTGGGTACAGTACAGGAGACTGTAAGCGGCTGTGAGTCGGTTAACGCTCTGCTTTAATAACAGGATGCAGCTGCTCTCCTTCATGAACACACGAGACTGACTCAGTGCTGCTCTGACCAGAGACATGGACCATAAGTCTTTTCTGGCCTGACACTAAATTACTTTTTCACATTGTATCAGTTACAGGGAACTAAGGAAACTCTGGCGTTAACAAGGCTAGTTTGGCTGAAAAACGGTTCAATTCAGGTTACGTGGAGTCGTTGGTGGAACAATGTGCCTTGGCCGAGAGCCTCCATTGGTCATTGTCTCGCAGTTATGACAAATACGGTGAACGTTTGGGGAAATTATGAACAGATAAGGTGGAAACAGTTGCTTGAATGATAGCGGGGAGGAAATCAGAGCGAGCCGGATTCCTCTGGCTATTGTGTACAGTGTGACTGCACTGGGGAACCTGATCCGGCCCTTAATGATTGATCATTGCTCCGCGTTCCTCGGCCCTTTGAAGTCTGCGGTCAGATTCAAAGCCAGCCTGACGAAACCCTTCAGAGGCTCATTGTCTTGCGTTGAGCTCCGGAGTGTCGAAATCCTGTGCGTCTGCCCTGCGAGGTTCATTGTAACGAGGCTCATTATTTAGTCGTGCTGCTGTTTAGTGATGTTTACACCACCGGATACAGCCTCTAGTGCTCTGGACAGAACAGACTGTAGTTTCTTAAAGAGGCCATAGTAAAGAAAATGTTCTCGGAAATAGAAATAGAAATAGTCACATTATTTGTTGAAGTAAACATGACCTGTTTAATGTGCATTTAGTACATTATTTGGTAAATGTGTTACATCCTAGTTTATGCACTTGATTTTTTTTTTTCAGGCTAAAAATGTCATTAAAATGTAAAAAAAAAAATATATATATATTTTTTTTACATATTTTTTTTAATGCACATTTTTATTTTTAATTATTTATTTGTTTGTTTCTCTTATTAGTTTCTAATCCAGCATTTTTATTCAGTAGCCCAAATCTGAATAAAAATTAGTGTATGGACAACAGGATATTGTTATTGTTGTTTAATATTTTACTTAAGATAAAATCATGTAATTTTATAAAAAAGAATAATAAAAAAAAATATATATATATACACATACGGTCTTAATGCACATTTAGATTTTATTTCCATCTGCTTTATTTAAGTTTTTTATTTGTTTCTAATCTAGCATTTTCAATGCAATATCTGAACATTTGAATAAAAAAGTTTCTATCTTGCAATTCTGAGTTTATCTCTCAAATCTCAAAATTTCTCAAAATTGCAACAAAAATAAATACAATTATAATAATAAAACAGACATGTTTGTCAGGATTCTTTGATGAATAGAAAGTTCAAAAGAACAGCATTTCTTTGAAATGGAAATCTTTTTAACATTATAAATGTCTTTGCTTTTGATCAATGCAATGACTGAATAAAAGTATTAATTTCTTTAAAATAAAAGTAATAAAATCATACTGACCCCAAAACTACTGAACTGTGCATGTTTGCATGTTTGCGCTGCATACGTGTGACCTTGTCTTCTAGCTGCGTTCGCCCTCCGAGCCCTGCACTGTAACTCATGCGCTCTGGGCTCCAGATCACGCAGGGGCCGCGGCGTCTGCATCCGTCCTCCCCCTCAGCCAGAGTCCCTCACATCTGTAACAGGAGCTGTTGGTATATAAGAGAAGCTGCTTCAGGCCTCTGCTCTGTGAACCCGGGGGCCGTCGAGCCTCTCCTGCCCTATTTAGTGTCTGCTGAGCAAACTCAGCTGTCTGGATTCCTCCCGTCTGCACCTGGGGCCCCTTGGGGCCGCAGCATCGTCGCAGGGCGATCCTGATTAAAGGGTGTGCTGGGTAGTACAGTAGCACTGTTTTATGGGGTTTTCAGTCCAGTAATTTATTCAATATTATATGCAGTTTGTACAGGCAATGACACGAACAGACCTCTTAGTTGATGAGCGTGTTTTTGGTTTCTGAACTATGATTCTATTTTTGTTGGGCTTGAAGTCAAGGTCATGTGACTGTCCTGTGATCTTAAAAAGTCTGGAACAGTGTTATTATAGTTAACCAAAACCATAAATAATAATAATAATGCATTACTTGAAATAATATAAACGTTAACTGAAATAAAACATTTGAAAAAAACTTAAAATATAATACATTTATTTCAACTAGTTGCCAAGGCAACATTTCTCATTTTGATTCAACTTTAAGTACTAAAACTAAACCTAAATTAAACAAAAGCTGTGTGTCAAGGTCAGTAAGTCTGACTGGTATGCTCATGTTATTCATGATGATTTAGAAATTCAAAATGTTTGTCTAAAAAAACTCTTAATTATTTATTGTCTTAATTTACGCAAAAATATTTGCAAACTTTAGACTTGACTTTCAATAAAGTAGTCAATAAATCAAAACCTTTGTTAGTAAAAAGTTCAAAGCCAAGATTAATATTAGAGTTTTGAAAAAGTTAAATAATAAAATAAAATAATTTAAATAAATACTTAAAATAACCAAATCTATTTAAATATTAAATAACCTAGGTAAATAAATAATTAAAATATATGTATATTTTTAATATTGCTTCATTTTAACTCTAATATTAAAATAAAAAATAAACACATTACACAAATATTTCAATATGAAATAAAATATATAAATAAGTAATTGAAATGCTTATTTAAATATTTCATCTTATTGTTTCATTTGTTTTGCTCTAAATTTAAATGTAATTAAATGTGTTTATACATATCTGATGAGGTTTTGTGTTGACAGCAGAGCAGATAGAAGCAATACGGGAAGGCAGGTAGGGATTGGGAAATGACCAAACTAGACGCAGACTTGGGTTTTCCACAGAAGTGCCAGGATGTAACGCATGTGCAGCTCCCCCAGGCCACGTCATGTGTGTGTTTGTTTATTCTCCTTCTAGAGACTGATCTTCCCTTTCCTTGTTACTGAAGAACAAGCAGATCCTGCCAGAGACTCATCTCTCTTTATTACAGACGGAAGGAGAGACGCGCAGTGATGAGACTTGAAAGGTGCCGGTTCAAATTGACACACGCGTTTATCTTTTAGGCTGTTTTTACACTTAAATTGATTGCTTGTTTATTTCCGCTCTCCATATGTGACCCTGGAGCACAAAACCAGTCATAAGTGTCAATTTTTCAAAATTGAGATGTATGCATCATCCGAAAGCTGAATAAATAGCTTTCCATTGATGTATGGTTTTTATTTGTTTTAATGTGTGTGTGTGTGTTATTTTATACATTTTATATATTTTGAAATATTTTTAGATTTACGGTTTTCAATTTTATTTAAGGTTTTGGTGTGTTTCTGACGTTGTTATTAGTTTTATTTAAAAATGTTTAATGTCAACAGTTTTTATTACTTTTTATTTATTCGTTTTAGTTTATTTAATTTGTTATTTTAATACTTCAACTAAAAAATGAGAATGTTGAAAGCTGAAAAATGCAAATAAAATAGGTTTGGTTTTTATATTTTATTTTAATATATATTTATTTTAATATTATTTATATAAATGTTATAGATTTTAATAATTATTATATATTTAATACATACTTAATAATTTATTGTAATTTTTATATTGTATATATATATATATTTAATAAGTGTAATTTTATTTATATATATATATATATATATATATATATATATAGTTCTAATATTTTCTAATACGTATTAATATATTTTAATTTTAAATGTTTTAATAATATAATTATATATTTTTCTAATATTTATGTAATTAATTTTTTTTTCCATTATTATTATTTTTTATGGTTTTAGGTTTAGCTAACTATAATAACCCTGCCGCAACACAACTAGACCAGACTGGGTTGGACAGATGAAGTCTCTGGAATGGACAACATCCATCAATAAAATATTAAAACAACTACTACTAAAGAATTACACGATGTGCATATTGGGATTGAATGATGAATTGATTTCTAGATTAAGAAACATTTCAGATCACCGTGATGGATTTTCCCCACGGCTTCCGCTGCAGTTTTCGCAGATGTGCGCTTCAAAAGTGTTCATCATTTTTCATTCACATTATGCAAGTCCAGAGAATATTTCAGCATCTCGAGGTCTCAGCATGCATTTGGAGCACGGTCTTTGCCGTGAGGTTGATTGTTTTGCAGGAGCGCTCCTGATGTTCGTTCAGGGTGAGGTAGTAGGTTGTGTGGTTTCGGGGCAGTGATTTTGCCCCATCTGGAGATAACTATACAACCTACTGCCTTCCCTGGAGGACAGCGACACAGCAGCACTGACAGGTACACTCACACAAATACAGTATATTCCATTTACAACACATTCATATTATTATCCTATTTCAATCACCTAAAGAACATTTTTTCACTTTGAAGAACCTTATGTGAAATGGAAAGATGGAACCATTGATGCCAATAAAGAAGCTTTATTTAAACGTTATGATCTATCATTGTCTGTTTTTATTTTATGATTACAGTTGATTAATATTATAATAAATAAAGCTTTATTACTTTTTTGTTTGTTTTTTGATTAATATAAATAATTGGTTATATATATAAACCAGATACATGAATATATATGGATGTTGTCCACATTATTATTCAGCTGTTGATTAAATATATACTGTATATAAGATTTAACAAATTATTATAATTATAATATATCTAATTATATATGTGTGTATATATATAATATTTAATATT